CCTCGGATTCGATGAAAGTTACGCGAATCGTAACGAAGTTACGTATTCGTGGAACCTGCCAAACATCTTTTTCTCAGGCTATGGCCACGGTAGATGCGCGTTTCGACGGATACGTCGAACAGACGAAGTATTTATTATATATACTGGCCGTGGAAAGTATCGAGACGCGTCTTTACTTTCCAACGACGCGGTACAATAAAATATTTTTAAAGTCTGTGGACATACGAGATCACGCGACTGAGACACCAAATCGTATGGAATGTAACAACATATCGGGACTTAATTAATTGGTATGCAATCGTTACAGCGTGTCGATACTTTCTGTAGCCACTGTATGGAGATTCTAACAAGCGTACGCATCTCCGTCTTCGGGTGTTTCGTTGGTCGGAACACCGTATCCGCTGCAACCATAGCTTTCCACTTTATCTACGACTCTGTGTTCCATAGAACGGTGTAGTCGTATCCGGAATTGAGAAAGCAGAATCGACGCGAAGGAGGCGTTCGTGAAACGCGATGCCAACGCGGAGAAATAGAAACGTTTGAGCCAGAGGAGAGACACGTGTGCCGCGTAGCGGAGAGAACGACCACGGTGTTACCGAGTTGCCCACGCACGCTGCAACCCGAGCCAGCCATTTTGAATTCCAGCAGGCTTTCTGCAGCGGCCGAGTCGGAAGGGGAGGGAGCCTGCGGATACGGTGTCCTCGTCTTATTTTTCGGATGTCAAAGGACCGAGGCCACGAGGCAATATTGTTGATACTTGATGTTGCAGCTATATTCGAGGGCTCGACTGCTGCGCGCTCTTCTTGGCGGGAGAGCCGTTTCCTTTTCTCCCGTCGATTCTTTTTCTACCAGCTTGCTTCGCGCTTTCCTCCGATCTCCTTCCCACGCTTCTCCGCTCTTTGTCCTCCTGCCATTCCTCGAATCGTGACTCTGAAATCCAACTTCTACCGAAAGCAAACGTCGAAGATCGAAAGCGTCGACTAAGTAGCTACTAGCTCGAAGAAGATGCGTCAACTCGTCACTCGATCGCCGATCGTCCACTCGACATCGTATCGACAGGAGCAGAAATCAAAGCCCACCCGACCCGAAACTGTGCTTTGTCCATGTATAAATTCGGTTATTCCGAGCAAAGTTCAAGATCGAATCTTAAGACGTGAAAGTCTATCTCGTCCTCTTAACTTCTGATTCCGTAATTACACGAAATAAATGATAAGACGAACGCGGTTAATAGGTCGATGGAAGCCGCCTGGTCTACCGAGTCCCTAAATATCTGTCGTTTTACGATCGAGAAAACGCTGCTAGACGATAGAGATTCGGAGACGAGCATAAACGTAGAGAGACGCGTTTAATCGTGCTGCATACGGAGGATGCTAGATGGTTTGCCGTTAGCCCGGATAACGTAATGGCGGCTAGATGCATGAGCGTGAGAAAGAGAGAGCTTTGGACGCGTCTAGAGCACAGCGTCGCCAGAGGTGTCGGATATCTTCCACTTAATGGCGGCTGCGATTTGGCGGAGATAGAGAGCAGCCCGAGTACGAAAGCTTCCCGGTCGCGCTCGTCCACTTAATCAACC